GTTGGTCATCTTTGTCATTACTAGCTACAACAAAACATAGTGTTGTCATTCCAAGACAGAGCAATGATTAACTGATTAATTGACCTTAATAGATCACGTCAGCACTACGCACCACAGTCATAAAAAAATCTACATCCATGTACATAAACTACCGATAGAATAACCCCTCAAATACAATTGTTTAGACAAATACAATGTGTTTACTCTTGAGTAGCCTACGTGTTCCCCTTCATTTTAAGTTTGTGTCACTGGAGCATTTAGAAAAAAATAGGTCACCTGACAAAATGTGTAAAACCATCCATCCATCGCACTGGACCGCATCATGATAACAAATCCAAATACAACAGCACTGTAGTTTTCAGCTCCGACTTCAAGCATATTACAAACCATTATGGTAGAAATCTGATTCAGTAATTGATATGTAGTGCTTATATAGTCAACAAGGTTGTGTATTACGAGTCAGACAAAGAAGGAGTGCAATGACAAATGCTGAGTAAGAAATATTGCTGTAGTGCCCGGCACTATATCTAAGTGTTCAGGTGTTCAGTGAAGGAAGACAGGCAGAGATATCCCTGATCAGGGTTTACAGCCCTCTCTCTGTTTCCGTTTGAATGGGATAGTTACCTCCACAGCTGGAAAATGTTAACACCATGCGCTCACAGCCCAGCTGGCCTTACATAATATAAAGCCAATATTCAACAAAGTCTACTGAAGCCAATTAGGTGGTCAAGACGCTTTTGTCCTAGGGCTGAACTAATACCTTCTTCTGAGTGTTTCTCTTACATGTAGCATGTATGAGAAAGTATTAGTTCAGGTCCCTGCGCCACAATGGCTTCCCGCTCCTTGAACAGCTATCATCCAGATGTTACTGAGCACTGCTGTTCAAGTAGAAATTCACAGTAAAAGACATTTAATCACCAAAGAGTTGGGGCGGAAGTGGCCCAGAGGGCAACTTCTCATCAATGCACAGACCCTGGATTCAGGACTGGAAGCTGAGGGTAAAAGGACAAAAAAGAAAACTAGCAGATCCTCTATATGACCATTTTGTTTGTTTTTTTTCTTGTGTTTAAAGGAATACTTCAACTACAATGACAATTAGTATGACAATTAGTCAAACCATGCTACACTGAATTCCTGAAGAAAAAAATATTGATTTATGGTGGACCATGTCTAACACCAGCAACGTCCATTAATAAACTCTTACAGAACTCGTGCACTATGGTTTAAGAAGGTAAGAATGTCGCGCCATTATTACGCCTCACCGTTCTGTACAAAAGGTATAATCGCAGAATGGGGGTGGGGGTGGGGGGTGGGGGGTGCAGAGTTGTCTCGCCTTGACATTAGAGAAAGCAGAATTAGATTTATTGTATTAATCCAACTAAAACCAGACTTTTAAAATACATGTTAACATCTTAGTCCAACTGAAATCGTACTAAATAGAATTTCTCAAAGGCGAAAAACACCCAGATAATTGGGAGTCAAATTACTCCTGCATGTGTACAGTAAATTGGACCCAAACTGGCCAAGGTGCTTGGTGCATGCTTCAGTGTCCCCACAAGGCTCTGAACCGGAAGTCAGAAGCATTGCATGCGTAACAGAAGAAGAAGGAGCCACTAGCAACATGGTGAAATCTACATCCAGACTCCAGAGCCGTGCATTTTTGGTCGGATGAAATGTACAGAGTTGTAAAGTTGTCCACCATGGTACCAGTTTGCCACTAACTACCCGTAGCTAACTTGTTTGGTCTGTGACGTAAGGTCAACCAGAAAAGGTCCAGTACTAACAAGCTGAAAGTGGGCATATCACCACCTATCGTTGTGGTGTCAGACTTACTTCAGTCAATAAATCGGTTTCCTTCCTGTGCTTGTATACTGGGACAAGGACAGTAATCCAATTAAATGGCCTAGTTGAGCTATAACCGTAGCTCAACTTAACTGTGCATGTTAACGTACAGTGTGTTAAAGGGACGGTCGGCAGGATGGAACAATGGATGTGTCAGGCGTGACATTTTGATGGCGTGTTATGCTTAAGACCCACCACTGGAAGATTTAGAAAGCAGCTGGTACCAGTTAGCAGTTAACTAAAAGAAGAACAGCAACCGAAAATGTCAACAAATTTGGCAAAATGAGGTCCTAGGGGCTCCTTAGCCTCAGAGCAGAGGATGACATCAACTGCCATAAAACAGGGACGGTAAATTATTGTCATTACCATGTTACGCCACTGTTATTGTAAAGAAAGCACTGCCTGACCTGTATGTTATGTCACACTGGAGTCTGACGCTGATGTGTTTTATGTTTGCTTGTCAACGCCTCTTTTACTTCAGGAACACTGGCATGCAATTTTAAATCACATACGTTGTTTGGTTTAAGCAAAGGCAGCGTAATGCAGGGTCTTTGTTGCAGCTGTAATTTCTGTGTAAAACGGACTAATGCAATTTTAAATCACATACGTTGTTTGGTTTAAGCAAAGGCAGTGTAATGCAGGGTCTTTGTTGCAGCTGTAATTTCTGTGTAAAACGGACTAATGCCGTGCAGTGCAGCAATCCTTTTAACCTTTGCTGATCTGTAGTAGGTGGCAACAACTTTTATGTCATCCGCCATGACATAAAAGTTGCAACCTCACTTTACAACCTCACATTCAATATACAACATAAAATAACAGAGTTTTAGTGGTAGTTAAAGGTCCACCTGGGGAAACTTAAACGAGGCAGTTCTCCGAAAAGCAAGATTAACAAAGCAAGTAAATTACAACTCTTTGACAGAATCCACTAACACCACCAACTTAGTATAAGAGCATCTGAGGGTGGATTTGCCTTTAAATTCTAGCTCCTTTGGTGAAGTTGCTCCTTGGCCAACAATAAAAGATAGTGGTTGTAGTGGGAAGCTTCCAGGTGTGAATGTGAAGCAGGGTGCTGTAGCGTGCGTGCTCAGCAAACCTTCCCCACTTGATAAATACAGGTTGAAAAAAAAAGTGGGCTTAAGCAGTCCTGAGCTCCAGCCTGACGCCTACACAAGGGTAGCGCTGAGAATAAAAAGGCCATCAGCATTTCATCATAATTAATTTTTAAGTTAATAGCAACTCATTATTTTTGATAGATATAGGCACGGTAAGTAGGGCAGTGGGCTTTGAGAAGGAGTAAAGCATGACTCTTTACAACCCCAGTGCTACACATTTCATTGTAAGTATTTTAATTTTATTATTATTTATAAATGTAAGTTTAAAATTCCAGACTAGTGCCTGCACAGTTATGGTTATAATAACCACAACGTTTATCAGCATCTCTGGGTGCTTTCAATAGCAATTTAGTCAGAATAAGATACTTAAAAATTGCCCAGATGCTAATATCAGTATGAGTACTGATTGTGTATTACATTATTATAATGCCTAATTAATTGGGCAGGCTGATTCTGGTCAAAAATCAATTAAGACTGCAGACTGCATATTGGATAGGGAGCACTTTGTACAATTTGATCTGAACAACACTCCCATCATATCAAAACACTATTAGCGCCTGAGTGTATAAATTACAGTTTAGTTTTCCACTACTTATTTTGTGAGAATCAATAATGTTTTGACATAACTTCCTGGACACCGTACCTTGACACATTATTGTGCCTTGACAGTTTGTGATGTAAAGAAATCAATATGCATTATATTAATGTAATTATTGTGCAGCTGAAGTGGCCCGAGTGTTTTCTCTCCATGCATTTTGGGTTGTATCCAGGATTTGTTTACATACATTACTCCTACTTTTAATATCATGATCTTGATGGTGACGTGGATTTCTGTCTTATCAAAGCAGGTCACTGTATCTAAGTGTGATGACAGAGCTGCAAGGTTGAGATCAAACGCTGCTGGTTTTGACCTCTGCAGTGGCTTGGAAAATTTAAAGTACAAAAAAAATTGCATGATTTACTGTCTGCTCCCTAACATCTGCACTGCTCATGGCCTTGAGCGAGCAATTGAACCGACAAAGTGTCCCAGTGGAGCGTCTCAGCGACCAATAGCAGATGCCTGTGGTTGTTTCCAGGTGTAAATATGTGCAATCACATGAATAATAAGCAGGCAGTTGCTAAGACAAAGCATTTGTGTGAAGAAAACCATCCCTCCATAATCAGAGGTGAAAACAAAACGTAGCAGCGCTGAAAATTATATCACACGTTCAGGACGACACCAGCATCTGTGACAAAAAACTTAAAATTGCTCTTGTGTATTTTTGCAGCCTGCAAACAAACTTTTTCTGTCACCCGAGCGAACTGCCTGCCTGATTTGATCCCGACACACTGGGGAGCACTGATGTCATCCAAGGACATCCTACCAGCCACCTTTTCCTCCTCGCAGGTCAGAGAGGTCACAACAACTTCCAGGAAACATAAAGGGGAGTTAATTCACACCACTTGACCCTTGCCCTGCTGTCCCCATGTGCCCTATTATATGCTCCACTCAACTATGTGTGTGTCTGCCTGTGTGTGTGTGTCCTTTACAACTTTATAAGTTCACCTCCAGTGCCACAAACTCTGGTTTACTTTATGCACACTAACCACATGCTCCTGCTAACAGCCAAAAAGAAAGTAACTTGATCACAGCAGTCAGTTTGCTGGCTTCTAATCAATCAAAGCAACTATTTGCGTCAACACCAACACACACACATGTGATATCAACATCAATCACGACTTAATAACATTCAGTTTCCTGGTTTTGGGAGGTTAAAGGTGGCCTGTTAGCAAGTAGCAAGCTAAAGCTAAGGCTAACACTGGCATTAGTAAAACACTTCACCTTTGCATATAATTCCCAAACACGCCGTTAAATAACGTGGAGTAAATCCCAGCCTTGTTTGGGGTTTAGTTTGGAGACATTTAAGGCTGAAAATGTTATATTTGCCGACACTCGTGGGCACCAAAATGTGGCTATAGTGTAGCCTCCCCTGAGCACGACTAGAGCTGAAACTTCAAAAACGAGATTTTATTTATACACATCAATTATACATCAATTAATCTCACATGAAAGACTAGCAGAGCCGATGTCTCGCCGGTAGACGCCTCGGGAGGGAGAGAGCCCGCCACCAGCGGGGCAGCAGGGCAGTCAGAGCGGGCAGAGAGCTCTCGGTGCCCCGCCGTGTGCCAGCCTCGATGCCCGGTAGGATTTGGGAGTCCTCGGCTGGCCCGGGCCGGTGTGTGCGTGCGTTCAGAGGGAGGGAGGGAGGGGGCGGCAGCGGAAAAGGGACAAAAAGAGAGCTCTTCTTCTGTATCTTGTGTGCCAGCCCCGGTTTCAACTCCCTCCCGACACGCACACGTTTATCGTCCGAGGAACTGGGGGCACGAAATGTGCCACAAAAATAGTCGAGGGGATAAAATATTCAGCAGTTTAGCGCTCTCCCTGTCTCCCCTCTTTCCGTGCCAGCGCGGTGTGATGTCCGTTTAGACCGAGTTCCCTCCTCCTCCTCCGGCCGAATGGCAGCTACCGATACGGGACAGACACGCGTTGTTCCCCTCCAAAATGTCGCTTATGATATATCACAGCGATTAAATTATTTATTTAATCTCCACCAAAAATGGGACCCACGGAGCCACACAGGCTGCGTTCACTTGGCCGAACTCCGACGTGGACATTTGTGTGTTATTTTTCCAACCGGAGAGGAGAGTGGGGTCTACAGCGGAGGGCGATACTGGTACTCCATCTTTAGCCGACATCAACAGGTCATCCCGGGACACAAATGCGCTGCAACTGTGGGCGAGACAGACGGATGGATCCGGCATGGCGAGAGGGGAGAGGAGAGGAGGGGAAAGGAAAGTAGGGGGTTGGCTGTAAAATCTTAACCCGTTTACCGACAGGACACCGTGATATTGGGCGAGTGCAACGACTGCATGCGCTTTTTAAAATTTCAGCACGTTTATGGAGGAAGAAAAAAAATGCACCCCAAGTTAGTTTTTGGGGAAAGTTCGGGAATGCGGGAGAAAGAAGAGCGGAGGACTCATCAAGTCACTCACCGAGGGAGAGGGGAGGACAGCCCGCGGCGACGAATGAGTGGAGCCGGTGAAGTGGTTAAAGTTTGGTCTGTCCCCATGAGCCCATCCCCCACAGTAGCACAACTTTACCACCCCATCCCCTTAAAAAAAACAATAAAATAACAATAGCTTTACCCCCACTTCAACACACAACCGCAGACCATACACCACCCCTGTATCCAAATTCACCCATCCGAATTCAAGAAAGCACCCCCCGCACACACACACACACAGTTCAGGGCTCGGACATCTGACCGACCCGTCTCGCCGGCCGAGCCCGAACCGTTGTCCTCGGTGACCCGCCGTGCTCAACTCACCCCCTCGGCTGTATTCCGCTGGAAAGTGTTTCAATGGAGGGCCAGCGCAGAATAAGCGGTCTAGTGTCTCCCTCCGCCTCGCTACAGGCAGCCATTCATTGTGACTGTAAGCTGTGAACCAGCAGCCGCACACAATTCACGCATACACACACACATACTACACGCACGCACGCACTCGCACATGCAGGCGCGGGGAAGAGCGCAGAGCTATCGAGGAGGGGGACGCAGAGGAGCAGAGCGGGGATTTTTTTTTAAGTCTCCCAGGGGTTGCAGACAGATCGCAGAGCTACCGATCGGCTAGACAGACAGGTAGACAGACAGACAGACAGATGGGGAGGCAGTCGGCATCGTCTCATTACTTTTGCCAGTGCTGCAATGAATTAACACTGCACCTTATGCACTGTAATTTCAGATGCCAATAATGAGTAGCCCATGTTAATCAGGTGGGCGAGCTGGACTGCTTCCATTGATACAGAATGGAATATGAATTATCTCAGGCCTGTTCCCAGACATTAAACTTCTCCCATTAAACTATTATTTTTCCCAATTTAAACTATGCACATAGGCAGCATAATGTCAGCCAGGCAAAGCTTTGCAAGTGTACCAATTTAAGTATAAGGTGAGTTTACCTGGCTGCTTGTCACAATAGACCCCATTAAATCTATAGGTTTTTTTATGCAAAGCCCTGAAATAGCATGGCTGAAGGGAAACTATGGGCTCACGTCCAGATTCAATATGTTTTCCTCAGCATTACTAAAAATAACTTGGCACATGAACAATAATTTGGATGAGTTATGGCAGAAAAGTTGACCTGGGTGCACGTGGGAATGTTGTTTTTATGCAGACACAAAATAAAAGAAATAAAAGAAATTTTTTATAATTATATTTTTGATTATTGTTTTTTAAAAGTATATTAGAAGGCTATTATCAGCCTATTACTATTAAAATTATTTTAATTATTTATTATTCTTTTTTAAAATTATATTATTGATATATTATCAGCCTATTAATATTATTTATAAATTTTTTTTTAATTATTATTATCAGTCTATTGCTGTTGTTATTATTTTTATTTATTATCTAAATTATTTAAATTATTATTATTAGACTATTATGACTCTATTATTATTATTATTATTATTATTATTATTATTATTATTATTATCATTATTATTTTATTTTTTTTAATTTTTATATTTCATTTAAATCCTTAGTTTATTTTATTTGGAGTCCAGCCCAGGAATGCCATTTGATATAATGTAACGAGCAATATAACACACCATGTCTTAAAACCAGAAGTAATCAGATTACATTTGAGGGAGTAGCGGATTACAGGTCTGAGCCCACGCGCCGCTGCAGGCAGGTAGACAGGCAGCGTCCCCAGCCGACCCGACTGTCTGAGCCCCACCCACCAGTCCACCCACTCAACCCCGCTCTCTCACTACTCACCGGGCTGTCCTCTCCCTTGGGTGGCGGAAACGACTCCCTCCTGACCGACACCGCACGGACCGTACAGCCGGGCGCCGCCGGTTCGATCCCGCTGTCTTCTGTGTGTGATAGTGCGTCTAGACTCCGGGCAGGTGAGCCCTCCGGGGCCTCCAGGCGCTGCGCACAGTGAATACTAAACAGGATGAGACTGCATTCAGGCACGGCACTGCGCTCCCCGCTCCCTCTCTCTGTCATGCCAAATACTATTAACTCTATAATTCTCCTGTGTCAGATGTATAGCGCCACGCTCTCTGGGCATTTATTGTCACAGCGCCCCCATCCAGATGTTCAGGCTTGTGTGCGTACAGTAGAGGCTGATAGGGTTTTTTTTTCCACCCACATTCATCCATGTCCTATTTTATGGGAAAATGGGTGCAAACTATTAAATAAAACAGCGTGGTGGTAGATGATGTGACAGTAAGTGTGAAATACTGGGATGTACATTGCTTTTCATTGTGGGTCAGGCATTCATCACAGACATGGAGGCAGTGGTTCAAGTATTCTCCTAATGTAAATGGAGCAATGCCACATAGAAAACACTCAGTTACACCCACACAGTTATTTGGATTTTTCTTTCTTTCTTTCTAGGTTACTATTCAGGATAAACTTTAGGGAGATCAGATCAGAAGCTTCTAGGACAGGGGTGTAAATACAGACAGTCTCACTGGGGCCCGGGTAGAGGGGCCCAACTGCCACCTGGAAATACGCTCGTAAATCACATTAAATCAAAAATGGTGTGATTTTCCACATCTGCCCTCAAAAAGACAAACCCATCTCCATCACTGTCTTCTGTTTTTACAAAATAATATCAAACTATAGCAAAATTATATGCTTATTCTACATAAAACTATGAACAAAATATTTAGTTAAACTAATAATTTCCTATTTTCTTTTGTAGTTTTTGTCATGTACAGATATGTACTGATGATTGCTGGGTAAAATGTATGTTGATGTTGTCTCTGTTTAATCATATATCAAGATGTGACAATTGACAGTGACTAGTTAAGGGCAAAATCTCAAGACTGATAAGCTGGGCACATCTGTAAGCGGCAGTAAGACACACTGTTGGTAAAATATACGTACGCTTGAAACTCCGTGTGTGTGTGCTTCATGACTAGTAACTACGGCGCACTTGGGCCCGTCATTATATCCTGCAATGGGGCCCATTATAACTACCTTACTCCACTAATCAGGGGTGTCAAACTCATTTGATCTTAAGTGGGTTGGACCAGTAAAACCACACCATAATAACTTATAAATTACACCTTCCAGTTGTTTCCTTTCTTTAATGTAAATAAGTACAAATACATTCAGAAAACTTTCATCTATTTACAAAACAGATGATGAACAGCTTGAGACGTCTTAAGAGAAATGAGTGTAATCCCAACAATATGTCTCCGTTTTTCCTCGTTTAGTTAGTCTGCTACTCACTGTCACAACATGTGCATTTTTTCTATGTATTTCCACACCAAACTGAGGTGGAAGCTATTGAGGAAGCAAAGGTTTAGGCAGTGCCTTGGCAATAGGGTTCCACTGAAATTGTTTTAAAGGTCCAGTGTGTAAGAGTTAGAGGGATATAGTGGCATCTAGTGGTGAGGATTGCAGACTGCAACCAGCTGAAACTTCTCCTAGTTAGAATCCTTCCTAGATTCCTTCAGTGTTTATTGTTCAGGAGGTTTTTACCGGGAGCCAAATTATTCGCAGTGATCTTTCCTTCTCCGAAACAAATGGACCAGTTGATTAAAACAGGTAAAAAACACTGAATAAAGTTATTTCATGTTACATATCAGTGATTTTACAAGCCTGTTTGGCATGTCAGACACAGGCTACTAATCTCATTTATACTCACCTTTTTCTTCTGATAACTTAAGATCCAGATATTCAGGAGCTTTTATCGGGCAATGCATAGGATCCATACTAAAAATGTACATACGTACAAAAGTCAAAAATTGAGTACCCCAAAAAATGTTTGACTATTTCACACCATTTGCACTGCCAATATCCCATCTCCAAAACGTTCGGAAGCATGGGCCAAAGTTTCTCCCATCAAGTCTATTTTTATAAATCACAACTTTTTCATGGGAAGTGTTGTACACCTCTTTCAGGCCTTGTTTTGTGCGTACGCAATGTTCATAAATGAGACCTCAGGTGATTTAAAACTGGCAAAAACCATGAAGCAGTTTCACGTGGCAAATCAGTGTTTATTGTAAGCTGTTCAGCTTGTTGCAGACAGCCTGCTTGCTGGCACCTGCTAATGTGTGCTCAGCTATATTCTTTGATAACTTAATGCATGCTCATCTTATTTCTGATTCACACGTTCAGGAGGTTTTGACCATGAGCTGAATTGTCCGCAGAGGTCTCTTCCTCTCCAAAACAAATGGACCCAGCGATTTAAAACCAGTTAAAACAAGTTTCACGTTAGAAAACTGATGTATTTGGCATGCAGCTTTTTTCTGGTCCTTTGAAGGTCACAGAAACAAAAATGTATCATCCAAATGTTTGCTTTATCAAACTGCACTCATGTCTGTTCAAACCTCTGAAAGTCACTAACTTTTCTGGTGAGGGTAACATTTCAGTCTTATGGTATAGAAAGTAAAAGAAATGGTCTGTGTACTAAATGTATCATAAAACTGTGTTGGATAGAGATACTGGAAAGTGTTACTTGTAGTTAATAGACGAAGGGATCAGCTACATTTTGATATAAGATTTGAAAGTCTGTGATTGGTAATTGTACCTGCCTAACATAATCTCATCACAAAGTTGGATCAAATGTGAGCAGGGCAAGTGTAAAACTAACAGCTGCAACTGTAACTGTATTTTTGGAGATGAACTCTACTTTGAAAGATTTACACTGTTCATTTTTTATTATTATTTTAAATGGTCAGCAGCAAAAGTAATTAGACATCCCTACTGATGCATTGCTTTAAAATGATGTATGGTTTTAGAAAATGGCAGATATTCTATTACTTTGACAAAATTAAAGGCATGTACACCATAAATTGAGGCATAAATGCACAAATTTGTGTATACAAATTCACCAGAAAGTAAGAAATTAAGTGTTTGATGCCCAAAAATGTTCTTGCAGATGACTCCCAAACCCTCATTTTATAGAATGAAGTCAGGTAATTAGGGACACTTTTTGGTATATTACCAATAAAACCAACTGGAACTCTGAAGACTATCTTCTGTGTTACTTATAGAATTTATTATGGTTCTCTTCTATATTTCTATAAAGAAAATATGTTGCCAAGTAAAGTAATTTAGAAACTTTAGAAACCTTGACCTCACTCCGGTGAGATGTTCAGGTAAAATGGGACAGTCATGTGTTTTTTAAATGGTTAAATCCATTTTTAGCAGTTCAGTCATTAAATCATTATTGTAGAGAAAAGAGAAAATCAACATGCCACACTTCCTTGGAAGCAGAGCAAACCTGCATCAGTGCCCCTGCAGCTCTGTGGCCCCATGCATGTGGCTGCTTCACTGCAGAAATATTAAAATGTGACTAAAAAAACAGAACAAGAACATGAATAAAATTATAAATGTTTCAAAGGTGTGTTTATTTTGCAGCTTAAAGAACTGAATTCATATCAAGTAATATGCACTTTGCCATGTGTGACAGCTCTCATCTGAGGATTAAAACTCTAAGCAACAGCATCTGTTTTATTTATTGTCCTTAAATGCATCACTCATCACACCATAACGACCTAAATTCACTTTACACTTCACGTATATAGCCCGAGCTGCTCAGCGCTGACCTGCACTGACCCTCTTTTCTCTGAGGCAGTTTTTATCCTCACATCATAGGTCCGGGGTATTTTGGTTAATCCATAGGCTATGTTTAGCCTTTTCATCTGAATGCATCACCAACTTCAGGCACGGTGAGATTAAATTAGATTATTCATGAAAGCGGGCTGATGTGTTTTCCAGTCTCCTCACATGTTCACTGCGGGGGAAAGTAGGCCAGCAGTGTGTGCTGCGGCTGACTGATCGACCCGCTCCCTCTTGTCCTTACATTACACCGCTTCCCTGACGTTACACGGCTCCACCGCCGGAGGGGCGGGCAGCGCTTTCGCTTTCTCCCCACTGGCCGCGCGGGCTTCCGTAAGGACGCTGAAAACATGGCTGCTTCCATGTGTTAACGTGAGAGTAAGCTGGGAACCTACACCGGCGAGGAAACAGTCACCACACGACCACCTGCATCGCCTTTGAAATAAAACAGCCTGACAAATTTAGGAAAGCAGTGTTCGCCTGGAAGGAAGCGTCACAGGTAACGTCACGGGTGTTTATTAGCTTAGCATAGCTAGCAAACAAGCTAATAACTGCTGGGAAGAAGTAGCATTACGCGTCATTTCTGTGTTGTTTAATAAGTTTGTTTTCATGTAACCACATTAGCCAGAGCAGCAAACAGTTTCACTCCACTGTGTTGACATGTTAGCTAAATGTTGTTGTATTAAAAAACACGCAGCTAAAGCTACAGGTCGGGTTAGCCTCCTTTAATCCCTGGGTTGACTCTACTGCGGACACTACTCATGTTACTAATCGATTAGCAGAAGAAAATCACAGTAATTCTGATCAGAAGGGAAATAATTTAAGTCATTTATCACGCAAAAATGTCAAATATTCTCTCTCAAATATGAGGAATTGCTCATTTTCTCTGTTTTACATGGCAAGACAAGTTTATTACACAGCACTATTGAGACATAAGGCATTCAGAGTGCTTTAAAGAGGCATAGGAACACATTTAACATAAGACATCAAGAAAATGTTAAAACTACATTTAAAAGACAATAAAAATGTGAGAACAAGCAAACAAAGATCAGTGAGAACTTGCACTGAAAACTGTAAAATAAGCAAGTTGTGTGTTTGCTTTATTGGCAAGCCTCAGTAAGCAATAATGTTTTAAACTCTGATTTAAATGAGCTGAGAGTTTTTGCAGACCCCAGTTATTCAGGTAGCTTGTTCAGGGTTTCACAGGTCCTTAAAATGTCTTACAATATCTTATATTCAGTGTTACAACAGAAAGGCCTTAAAAGTCATTAAATAGACTTAAATTGGAATTTGTAAATTTCATTTCTAATTTCATTTCTATATTTTTATATTTCTTTTTGTTAAAATGAGTGAAGCCTTTCTATGTAAAAGTCCACATTTCTGATGTTACAAATCTTTAAAAAACTACAATACTGTCATTTTACTTCATACCTGCACTTACCTGTTGGCAAAATGTAGATTGACGTAACTCACTCTAATAACCATATTCCTACATAACACTTACCTCTGCACAAGACCACATACATTCTACATTGCTGCAATGCTTACCTGAGATGCTTCAATAAGTAAAACATGATTCGTCCAAATATTTGTCGTAAACTTGGTTAAAAGGCATCTTGAACGGGTCTAAAAACATTAAATGTAACTGTCTGATACCTGTAGACACCCTGTTGTTCCTGGGGCTGGGAGTCACCAAAGATCTCCTGATTATGATATTATCAGGATTATACTTAGGCAACAATATAATTTAATGTGATTTTAGATGTTTTGCAATGTGCTGAGTCATGCAATAACATAAACTGCAATTCATTAGTTTTTTTCAACTGCAAATGAAGAAAGAACCTTGTCAACATCTGTTTTCATCTAAAAGGATAGAGTGTCAGTCTGTTCCTTTTCTTGTAGGCTACCAAATTTGCAACGTTAATGATTTATATAACAAAATACTGATACTTGGCATTTGTGTATTGAGACGATATTGCTACACAAAATATCGCAATACTGTACTTTGTCGATTTTATTTTATTTTTTACCCACTCCTCCTTGTTCCACAGGTGGGGATGATAGAAACTAAAAGCAGCTTCACCTTGTTTGGTTTTACTCCACTAAGTAACACTAGGTAAACCTATTCTACATGACCTGAGAGGTCTGGATGCTTTGTAACATATAAGTAAATCAGACATGTTTTTATTTATGTCCGAGACAATTTAGACAAATAATAGGATTTTAAAATCCCCCCCTTTGACACACAGGAAGCCAGTGCACTGATTCAAGGTCAGGTGTAATGTTCTCCACTTTCTTGGTGTGAGTAAGGACTGTTGCAGCTGCAGCTGTATGATGGATTTATTTGTACTGAGACCCATGAAAACACCATTACAACAGTCTAGCCTGTTGAAAATAAATACATAAACAAGTTCTTACATTATCTTAACATCAATGTACTTACATCATCAGTGTAAGCTAAATGTTTTATTGGGGAGAGTCTGTAATATTAGTCAGCTAAAACAAGCAATTTTAAGACATCACCTTCAGATCTGGAATATTTTAATGGGTGTTGTTTGTTGCAGCCCTGCCATAGAGTATACATGGCAGTGTATATTGTAAGCTCACTATTTTTGCAGTGAAAGACACAAAGCTAAAGGCATTGATATTAGTGGTAAAGTTGAAATCTACAAGTCATAGGTAATAGATAGTCTTATAATCGAGTCAGCAATAGACAGAAAATGAACTAACAACCATTTAAGTTAATATCCCAGCGAAAAAACATTAACTGTCTCCAGCCTCTCAATGTGAGGATTTGCCGCTTTCCTCTGTGTTGTCATTGTAAATGAAATTGTTGATACAGGCTTATATTACATAGATCCAAATCTGCAAGCTTATTTAAATGAGAGCACAGCTGATACACTGGCGAAGGATGATATTACTGGCTGATTTCAGTATATTGGTGTTTGGTATATGTTGGCTCAACCTCCAGAAGCTTCAGCACAGAAATGCCAAATAAATGTTTGAGGTAAGTCAGAGACAGCCATTACACTGTTTGTCCACAAGCAGTGACAAGTTATTTGTTAGTTGGAAAATATGCTTAGTATATACCTTATTCACAAATTTCTAATAACCAAAGAAATATGTTTCAGAAGTCCTGTGTCATATAGGTTATTTATTTAATTGCACACAACTGGACAAATTTTAATTGAACTCAAAACATTTTGCCGCATTCAGACGTGTCTTTTGTCTTTTTCCAGACGACTTTATGCTGGTGCAAACAGTTCGGCTGTTCCCCCTCATCATTTCCCATCATCTTCATCCTTCCTGCACCCATTCTGCCAGACAGACGTTTCAGTGGAGTTTAGGCAGTGCTGCTGCCAGCAGGGGACTGAGATCCATGGAGCCCCTAAAAACTGCCTCAGACGTCCCCACCACCAAACTTCCTGAATCTTCAGCAGAGGAAACAAGCGTGGCACCAATGGACACAGCAGCTGACAAGGAAAAGACGTCCCCTGCAGGACTGTTACCCGGGGAGACGGTTGTCAAGGAGGGCAAGGCGGCCATCTTGTTTCCCAGTGCCAATGAAGTGTTTTACAATCCAGTCCAGGAGTTTAACAGAGACTTGACGTAAGCATCAACATCTTTGGCCTTTACCCTGAGGACACATACTTGCTCAGCACCACAGTCATGAGTCTCCTGAGATGACCCCAGTGTGAGGTGGTTCAGCACAGTAAAGATAAACATGATCCTGTCATTTGGCATGATTCAGTAGTTTACTTCAGTGTGTTTGTTTTTTCTTTTCACTGTAGAGACAATTAAAAAAATCATTGGAAAGTCATTTTTATGCTTTCTGAGAACATGCAAGGTTGTTAAACTAGAGAATTGTTATTTTAAAGAATAACCCATTTTAAAAAGGGTTAAAAATAAATGCTTAATGTAGTGTAACAGAAGCAGAAGAGATGCTATTTGCCCAGCAAAATACTGTACATTCAAAGTGGGCTAACATCTGCTTGCCACCATGAATCTTTGGGCATACCTGTCACCTCAGCTTGTTGTGGCCCGAGTGTACTGAAATGAGCAATGGTGCAAAAATTTCTACAATAATTGAAGATATCTTAAAGTGCTGAATTGGTCTCTGAATCCAGACCTAAACAGACATGGAGGAAGAGTAGCATGCTGATTGTTGGAGACTACCCAGATCAGTGTTGGAAGATAAATCTTTCCTCTGGTGGATTTAAAATTCTACCAGTCACTCATACTTTTCCCCAGCTAACATTCTGTTATCACACTTTTATGTGTAAGTGACTTTACTAATGATGAAGGAGAAATCTGGACCCCGTGGCTGCACCAGCTGGGAGCCTCTGCACTAAAATATGTTGGCAAGAAATTGGTATTGTAATAACAAAATCTTGATTCATATTTAATTTGTGCGGCCTAGTTTGGCAGTTTGACCGCAGCTCATGAGCAGTCACTGACATGATTGACAACTGCGTTAGAGACTCCTTGCCTTTGATTGGCTGTTTTCCTGATTCTTGCATGCCATTAGGAGCACTATGGGGAGGCAGAGGAGTATGATTTTTTTCTCAGATTATCTACCTCATGTACGTCTGTGGGGTTGTAATAACACTTTTCAAAAAAATGGTCAAATAATTGGCTAAAAAAAGTTACCTGCTGTAGCTTTAATGCCAGTTTAAATCATTATGTTGTTGTCGCACCACCTATATGTGAGATGCCATCAAATTTTGCAGGGAAATCCAGACTGGAATGAATTTTACATTCAAGCCTCACAGTGACATAGCGCAGGCACATGGAGGCGCTATCTGGGCCGAAAACGAGATCCTTTCTTTCTTTCTTTGCCCCTTCCAGAACTTTCTATGAAGTTTTATCAACATTCGTCAGGTAGTTTTTGAGATATTCTGCTAACTCCAAAACAACACACAGGACTGAACACCTTAACGCCCAAGTGGAGGAAAAGATTTACTGTCAGCAGGAGGAGGCGTTTTCACTCAGTCTCAACGTCCTATTTTTGATTCTGCAGCCATATTTTACTTGGCTGGTGCAGCCCTCCCTGATTTGAATTGCATGATCGTAGTAGTGCTTTACACATTTACTCCATCACTCACAGTGCGCCAGTCATGCTCGTCTACCTCTCAAACACAGGAACCTGCACAATTGTATTGTGACTGTGATTTTAGACCACTGCCAGAGTAGATTACATTTGGTACATTTACATAAAGTTACATTTGGATGACAACAGGTGTCATGGATATTTAGTAAGCACTGTTATTTACCCTGTTATGATACGTACAGTACATGCTTATATATAAGAAATCACTTTCCCTCCCCAGATGTGCTGTGATCACAGAGTTTGCCAGAGATCTGCTGGCTCAGCGCGGGGTGAAGGTGGTGGTGCCAGGAGAGAAAGAGAGGGTGGTGGTCTCTCTGTCAGAGGAGACGAATGAGGCCGACGTTCAGACAGAGGAGAAAAACGGAGCAGAGGAGCCAGCTGTAACTGCAACAGTGGGGGAGAAGTGTGAGGTATGTAGGACTGATTTAACAGTGTCATGTAGAAGTAGCAGGTTTTATTTCTACTCAGGATCCTGATCATAAACAGTGACCACAACTGAAGTTTAAAGAAAGTAAAGCCGTGCAGAAGGTGTAAAACATTGTTTCTCTGACAGATCAGATGCGCTGAGGCTGTGCGTGTGGTTGTGTAGCTCGGAGCAAGGTACTGACATTGTCAGGGTTAGTGGTTGGAGTCCCACTGGGGTTTCCCATTCTAAAAATATACACAGCGATGCCAGCGCGAAGCAGCTTGGATAAGAGCCTCCATCAAATGACTTATGTTAATGTTGCACCAGGTAATTTCACACTCTGGTGGCCCCAAGTGGTAGAGAGAGGTAATTAGATCAGTTTTTAAAACTTTGAAGGATTTCATTATGTTGAAATAATGTCATTAGATGTCAGTAAAGACTAGAGTTTAATCCTGTTGTTTACTTATGGTACAAAAATGTTCGGCTGTTGTAAATGTGATTGTCGATTTGTCAGACGCTTTTTAAATCACCAGTTCTAGTCAAAGCTAAAAACATGCAGCCAGTGATGAGGTGTAAAAAGGTTCTGAACTCCAAGAGGAAGGAAAGTTCTCAGTTACATCCCTGTTACAACACTTTGGATTTAGCCCTGCGTTACTGCTGCTCTATAGCTGCAATAATCAATATTTTCATAATAAAGTGATAGCTCAATATCTTGGTTTTACTTCCCACAACGTAACTGTTTTGGTTCACCCTCACTACTTCCCTCCCTTTGATCCTAAAACCTGAATTATATCAGTATACCCCACATCTTGATGAGGAAATGCTACATTTGCTATGAAGCCTAAAGCCCTTCCGAATATCCAAACAAAATATGCTGTTAACATGACCCATATCAAGTTTGCAGTATTGTCATATTCGGAGCAATAGTTAGTCCCTTCAGGGTTTCGTAGGATGTGAAGTTGCGGGGGCAAGTGAAAATTGAAAAAATAGTTGCAATGCTGTCTCGGATTCGGAGCCTGTTATGAGCATTCAGTAATTTCCATAGAATTAGGATCCATTTGTGATAGTGCAGGGCTGACGGCTGGTTGTCGACCATCAGCTGTTGCTACTAGTTGAAGCGGTGCTAAAGGACCATCTCGGTGAGCTGCTCTCCTCCTGCTTTCTCTGCGCAGTTAGCACAAGCTAACACAGCAGCAGCGGCTAACACTTGACACCAAGCTGTTTCAGTGTCTCACACCGACACAAGAATCAGTTCTTGCAGCTTTTAGACTGTTTCCCTTTCATTCCAGGGTGGTCTCCGTGTGCTGGAGGGTCTGGCGGCGTCCGGTTTGCGCTCGGTGCGTTTTGCTCTGGAAGTCCCGGGCCTTCAGAGTGTCACCGCCAACGACTTCTCCACCAAGGCCGCGGCGCTGATCGCCAGGAATGCCCAGTACAACGGAGTGAGCCACCTGCTCCAGGCCAGCTGCAAGGACGCCAGGTACGATTACTCAGCACATTCAGGGAAATGTTAGTTTGCTGCAGACCTGTTATTTATCTGCTGTCTGTTTGCTACTCCTCTTTTATTTATCCAGTGCTTCTCCAGTCTTCATTCTTCTCCAGTCTTCACCTTTTAACCTCTTGTTCAATCATCCTCTGCTCCTGCTCTCATCTTCTTCAATCATGTATCTTTGGTTTTCTCCTTTTATGAACTCTTCTGTCTCTTTTCTTTCATCCATGCCACTCTTCTCTTTTCTGTTTGGCCTGCTTGTCTTCATGCCTCTCCTCTTCCATCATCTTCAGTCCTTTCTCCTCTTTCTTCTCTGAACTAATCTGCCCCTCTTTTTTAAGTGGCCTTGACTCATCGTATTTCTACTCGTCTCTTTTCTCCATTCACAGCATCTAACAGTTCTTTCAATGGTCATGTGGATTTGTCTAATATTTCTTCTCACTCCTCTCCCTTTTTATTTTTCTCCAGTATGCTGATGTATGAGATGCGAGGGAAGAAAGAGCGTTATGATGTCATTGATCTGGATCCCTACGGAAGCCCTGCTTCCTTCTTGGATGCTGCTGTGCAGGCCGTCAGTGAGGGAGGTGGGTCGTTTGCTCTGTCAATAATTGACTGTCTTTTATTCTTTTCTTCCCTCTGTCTCTGGGTCTGCTCGAGTGAATTTGTGGATTATCGCTCTACTCCAAATAACAGTATGATTGTCTGCGACTTTCATTGGTAAGAGTCTGATGATAATGTGACAAACAGAACTTTTTACAGTCAGGATTTTAAAAAAAAAAACGTCTAGTGTGTTCCTGGCAGAAGAACATCCTGTTCCTAATTAGAGTCCTGGGAACTCTCCTTATTTACCCAAATTAAAGACCGCCTCCACTGAAAATCAAGTTTTTAACCTTTTCAGCATTTCCATATAGTGTTTTTGATTTGCTACAAGATAAATCAAGATCGAAATTAAAATAACGTCACAGATGAGCATTTCTGGAACTGCAGTGTACCAATGACAGTCTCAAAAACACGGATTCTGACTTCCAGGGGTTGTTACATCACAAACCTAAAGAACCAATCCCATCAACTTGCAGGCTGAACTTTCCATATCATTAGCATAATGCTACGGCAAAAGGAGGGGTATCAGGGCAGAAGCCAGGTGTAAATGCCATGGATGTATAAAAAGAACTGGATACAGAGATGGAGGAGGACCCTGTACATTCCTATGAAAGTTGCTCAGCAGCGCATGAAGCCACAAAAAGTTCAGTTTCCACAGTATGAAATTACCCGGATCTTCAGCACTGTGTGGCTTATGGACTTATGGCGGCTGAGTGATTAACATTCAGTTTAGCCCTCCGCTAACTTGAATAGGGATAAAAATTTATTTAGTCATACGAGCCTTCTAGACTTTCAAAATGTTATTGGACCAAATGGATCAAATCCAGATAGTGTCATTTCATGGGGGTTGTGACATTTAAAAAATGTCACTCATTTACAGACATCTCTTTCACCATTTAAGGCAATGGAAAAAATGCTTTTTGGGCCCCATGGCATCATGTGACCGACCCAGATGCTGTCATTTAACACTTGGCCACTAGGTGAAATTGGTTTCACTGCCAGGTGCTGGCCCTGGGGTTTGGTAAATTCGTATTTGTATTTTGCAAGCTAAGTTTCACTTTAACTTCAACTTGTCAGAGCTGGTGATCGGGAACAAGGTTTGTCTAAGATTGGCAAAAGATAATTAGCTGTCTGATAACGTAGTCAAGCTTAAGGCTCATGGTATCTATTACTGATTATAAGTAGAAGTTTGTATGTTTGAGGAGCAGAGTCGAAGGTGAGCAGCTGCACTCGAGCAGCAGGCGAGCGGCTGAAGGGTAGGTGGAGATAGAAGCGAGGACTAATTTGCATAGTCATTAGTTTAGACTAACATCTAACCCTTTATAAGGCATGAAGGGATTTTGGTCATGGGGAAAAACTTAGAAATATGTTTGATAAACCGAGATGAGTTGGAGAGGAACTGGAAAGTGTTCCATCAGAAACAATGCAGATTCCTACCGGCCAACTGGGGCCCATCTGTGAGGAGTCTGCATGTTCTCCTCATGTCAGCGTGGGTTTCCTCCAGGTGCTCCAGCTTCCTCCCACAGTCCAAAGACATGCAGGTTAACTGGTGACTAAATTGTCCGTAGGTGTGAATGTGAGTGTGAATGGTTGTCTGTCTCTATGTGTCAGCCCTGTGATAGTCTGGCGACTAAGGCTGGGCGATATAAAGACTATGTACGATATATTGATATATTTTCAGTGTTTTCGTAGCTTCTAACTGAATCTCTGTGGTTTGGAGTTTAGTTTCTCTTCTGCATCCTGTTTTTACCTCAGATATCTGCTTTGTTTTACTGTTACATGTTCGCTATCAGCCGCATTAGAAGTTGTGTGAAGGGGGCGTCGGTGGCTTAGTGGTAGAGCAGGCGCCCCATGTGCAGGGCTGTTGCCGCAGCGGCCCGGGTTCGGCTCCAGCCTGTGGCCCTTTGCTGTGTGTCGCTCCCTCTCTCTCCCCTCTTTGCACTCATCTGTCCTGTTGATTAAAGGCTTAGAAATGCCCAAAAAAATATCTTTAAAAAAAAAAAAAAAGAAGAAGTTGTGTGAAGTTGCTGCTCAAAAACTCAACATTTCCTTATTTTGCTGCTTCACAATAAACGTTTTTACACAGGAAAATAACAAGGGACTTTTATTGTGAAGAACTCTACAGGAAATGAAATGTGTTTATCACTGAATTAGTGGAACTTTGTTAGCGGGTTTTTGTCAATAAAGGCAAGTCTAATAATACGGCAGGGAGGAAGAGTAAAATCAGAAACAGCCACAGTGAGATGTTGATGAAGAGCTGCAGACAACTGGCTTTTACTGCACCTCTGCAAACAGCTCACCTCCAACAGGTAAACTTCTTCTGCCTGCCCTGCTGTGTGATGAAAAAACACATGTAGCAGAAATAACAGGGGACTTCAGCCGTGGATCAGTTTCGCCCACTGCTGACCTGTCCAGGGTGTACCCTGTCCCTCACCCAGTGTCAGCAGGGATATGCTAAGGTGACCATGCAACCTTTAACAGGATAAGGGGCTACAGATGAATGAATGTAAGATTTTACTTCAGTAAGAGCTGATTGGTTTTAAAAAGTGATCAACTGCATTGCTTTTCTTCTTCAGACGAGACATGGCTACAGTTAACTGTCATTTCAAACAGTATTACTTTGCTCAATACCAGTCCATTTCTGAAAGGCTTTTTTATTCACCATTTTTCTTATTGAGTTTGGTGACATTCATGAACTGTATTTATGTGAGTTCACTCAGTGAAAGAGATGCACTCAAATCACATTTTATTTTTTACACACATTTCATAAAATGGCCTTAAATCAAGTTGACAGTTGGATCAGAAGTAGGTCAGATACTGTTTGGTTTTATCCCATTTGAGTTTCAGGATGAGTTTGCTTTATGGGACTGATGTTTACACTTAACAGCCAGTGTGACACCATCAGAACGGCCTTGATTTGAACATCTCCACCCGTGCGGGCCAACCTGAAGCCTTAAACACACAGATACTGTACTGTATGTAACGCATGTTTTAAAGGTAGTCTCTTATTTTTCTCACCTTCGCTGACTCACTGTCTCTTTGTTTCTCTCTCAGGTCTGTTGTGTGTAACATGTACAGACATGGCGGTGATGGCAGGAAACAGCGGAGAGACCTGTTACAGCAAATACGGTTCAGTCTCCATCAAAGCCAAGTACTGTCATGAGATGGTGAGCACACACACACACACACACACACACAGCATGCACGAACATGCACAGACACGTCACCATGTTTGCATCGATAATGTCTTGATTCTTAGTGAAGCAGTGTGTACAGTGTGTGTGTGTGTGTGTGTGTGTGTGTGTGTGTGTGTGTGGGTTTGACACAAACACAGTAAATTTTGTTACGGATTCTAGCCTGAGGCTACAAGTCGGCGAACAGAGATTTCTGTGTGTGTGTGTGTGTGTGTGTGTGTTTGCTTGTGTTTCTTATACTTACTGGGAGACTTCTTATTCAGTAAACTAGAATAAGAGAGGAAAAACCCTTTACACTGATGACATTTTGCATCTCCGGGCATCTTTAATGTTATAATCCTTAAGATTTCAGTCCTAGTTGAGTTGGCGACACTTGGTAATACAGCATGGCTGGTTTATTACTACAGGTGCCAGAGTTCTGGGAGCTGCAAATGCTCATTGTACAGCTACTTTTTCTCGATATACAACAGAAGAAGAACTTATGTTTTTGTTTACAGAGCAGCCAAACAAACTTATGTTGTTTTAATAAAGAAGTCAGTCAATAATTGCCCTTTTTATACCGTGCCATGAGCAACTGCAGTCTGATTTCATGCTCCTTATGGTGCAAGCAGTTTCTTACACAGCAGCAGGGCAGAGTTGAGTTATTCACCTTGCTGAGGAGTTGGAGGTGTGAAGCCTGTCGCCTGCAGCTCTTCAGCTCGAGCTCACTGTGGCTGTTCCTTCTTGTGTCTTTACTCCCTGCAAAGTGTTTAAAAAGTTCTGCATGTGTTTGCTCAAATAATAGTTTAAAGCTATAGTGCGTAACTTCTGTCGCCTCCCAGCGGATAATGCGTTATTACAGCTAATAAGCCGGCGGCACTTCCATGTACACAGAGTAACACTCACCACACACTGTGTACACAGAGTAACACTCGCTACACACTGTGTACACAATGCTACACAACGTGCCGAACACCAGGCTGCTAACATTACATTACGTTCATAGCACCATTTCCAAGAAAATAATAAAGTAGGCTACTAGGTCCAGTACATGTAACAGCAACACATACTACTCATAATATAATTATAAATGAAGTCACTTACTTATCCAACAGCAGCAAGGCAACATCCGTGTCTACCCTCAGCCCAATTTCTTCCTTCAGGACTCTCCACGGAGGAAAAGTGACGCCAATACAAATCCTTGTTTGCCTTCTCCGTCGGTCACTTTACTTCTTTGCTAATAGACCGCTCATCCTCCCCCTCCCTTCTTGTTGTGAGGAAGCATTTCCTGTGAGCCAGCGCGGGAATGTCGCCGCTCTACACACATACTAAAAATGATATATATTGAAAAATACCGCGAGATGTTAGGAGCCGATCGGCTTAATCAGCATTGTGTCATCTCCTCTAGTAGTGACTTGGGTGAAACGGACATTTACGGACCTGTAGAAGTTACACACTATAGCTTTAATGTTAGTGAATGCTGAAGTTGTTGGTGATAACTAGGTACACTCAATGACCACTTTATTAGGTACACCTTGCTAGTACTGGGTTGGACCCCCTTTGCTGTCAGAACTGCCTTAATTCTTGGTGTCATAGATTCAACAAGAATATTCCTCAGATTTTGGTCCATATTGACATGATGACATCACACAATTGCTGCAGATTTGTCGGCTGCACATCCATGATGAGAATCTCAAGTACCAACACATCCCAAAGGTGATCTATTAGAATGAGAAATGGTGACTGTGGAGGCCACTGGAGTACAGTGAACTCACTGTCATGTTCAAGAAACCAGTTTGAGATGATCTGAGCTTTGTGACATGTGTACCCATCAGAAGATGGGTACACTGTGGTCATAAAGGGATGGACACGGTCAGCAACAATACTCAGGTAGGCTGTGGTGTTTAAACCATGCTCAGTTGGTACTAAGAAAATCTCCCCCACACCATTACACCAGCAGCAGCCTGAACCGTTGATACAAGGCAGGATGGATCCATGCTTCCATCTGAATGTGGTTTTTCCAATCTTCTATTGTCCAGTTTTGGCGAGAAAACCCGTGTGAATTGTAGCCTCAGTTTCCTGTTGTTAGCTGACAGGAGTGGCACCTGGTGTGGTCTTCTGCTGCTGTAGCCCATCTGCTTCAAGGTTGGACGTGTTGTTGCTTCAGAGATGGTCTTCTGCAGACCTTGGTTGGTTCATTCGAGTTACTGTTGCCTTTCTATCTTGAACCAGTCTGGCCATTCTCCTCTGACCTCTGGCATCAATGAGTCATTTTGAGAATAATTTGTTAAGTCAAGTTTCAGGACAAGAGGACGGACTTCAGTAGAGACCAGTAGAGTTTTAGCTTCACACACAGATTACTGTCTTCAGTTTATTTCACTCTGTAAATTGTGCAAGAAAAATCAGACATTTCTCCGATGTTTCACATCATTCAAAAAAGGAATATGTGTGCTTCTCTTTTTTTCCTCCCCATGCCCTGCAGGCTCTTCGTATCATCCTCCACAGTTTGGACCAGAGGGCGGGGGTGTACCAGCGATACATCCAGCCCCTGCTGTCCGTCAGTGTTGACTTCTACATCAGGGTCTTTGTACGTGTCTTCACAGGGCAGGCCAAAGTCAAGAACTCAGCCAGGTGCACACACACACACACACACACACACACACACACACTGTACTGTCTTCTAACAAAGGATATATGATGAAAGTTGAGAGATCCTGAAACTGGGTCACCGCAGCACCAAATACTAAAAACAATGGCAGCAGCAGAACTCAGTGAGATAAAGAAAATGTAAAATATAAAAAAATATGGGAAGGTAAAAAATGTCATGTTGATTATTGTGGTGAATTGTGAGGAGACATGAAAATATGAAGCAAAAGGAATAGTGTAACTACAGTTTACAAACAGGATGTACTGTTGACGTGCCTGTATCATAACACTGTATTTAAATCTCACATTCAGTTTTCTCCCTGTCTTGTGTTGCAGTAAACAGGCTCTGGTGTACAACTGTGTCGGCTGCGGGTCTTTCCACTTACAGAGAATGGGCAGGAGAACAAGCAATGGAAAACAGTAAGACGCTGTACAACTGAATCTTTCTGCTGTTTCATATGCGAAATGAAAACTGTCAGCAGACTCACCTCTGCTTCAAATGAGAACTTTCACACTCTTGGCCTTTTGGCAGATGGTTGAGACATCACATCTAAAATGTTACAGGAAAATATATCGAGACTTGTTTCTCTGAATCAAAATGTGAGGGCTGCTTCTTTCTTTAACTTGTGTTTTGCTCCACCGTCAAACAGGCAGTGTAAATCAAAGTGTGACTAGAGTGAAGTAACTTCATTACGAATGGATAAGCTGTAGTTTCGTCTTGTCCGGCCAAATAGAAATCAGCTGTGGATACTGTTCACTGCTGAATGTAAAAGTTCCGCTGTAGAGATGGGACTGTCTGCTGGTCCACTGCTTTGATGCACATTCAAATGTCTCAGTAACTATTGAATGGATTACCATTTTATATACACATTCATGTTGCCCTCAGGATGAATTGTAATCACCTTTGTAATCCAGTAAATTTTCCTCTAGCGCCATCATCAGGACAAAATCTCAATTACTTCAGTATTTTGGATTTAATCAAAAACACTCAAAACTATTTACATCCCCAGAACCTTAGCTATAGATGGTGTGTGTAGCAAACGTCTAAGCAAAGTCATTTGTTCCCCAGCTCAATATCTTCTTAATATTATAACATTAAGTGTGTTTTATGTTCTCGGGTAGTGTTGTCATGATACTGGAATTTCTAACTTTTATACCGTATCTTGGAAAATGTTGATTTCGATACCATGAGGGCACACGAGGTAAACTTTTTATTAAGAGATAAATACAACAAGGCTATAACATCGACAGCTTTTCTTAGTTAGGAGCAGAGAACAGCAGGATAACTGCAATAAACTTACCAGTAGGCCCGTTTCCACTGAAGAAGTTCCTGGTACTATTTGGGGGGCAGGAACTTTACAGGAACGTCCTCTTGCTCGGCCCTCTCAACCCCCGTGTCTCCACTGTGCGGCAGAGTAGGGAGAGGGTTCCTGTCAAGTTACCTGGCTCTGGATGTGACGTAATCGTTGCGCGGCAAAGAAACAAACAAAGAAGAACAACAACGAAGAAGAAGAAGCAGAAGTAAGAAGCAGACATAAGAAAGACGATTATCAACATGGAAGGAGCTGAGGAGGTTGCTGGGTTTCTGGCGTGTCTCTTCGTTTACATGGCGGTGGAAGCTATGAACGAGAGCTGCTGAGTTTTAAAAATGCTGGCTATTTTGTCGCTTTCTGTTGACGTCACATCCCGCCTTGAGTATATCCAATCAGCACCAAGTAATCCCCAATCCCCAGCCAGGAGTTTTTCGGGGCCGTTCTGAGTACCTACTCCGAGGCAGGGACTTGTTTAGCCCCTGTAAAAGTTCCGGAACTCTGTACTTCGGGGGTGGTTCCTGCGGTGGAGATACGCACCAACGGCCCCGGCCCTTTAAAATTACCCCGAAGTTCCTGCGGTGGAAACGGGCCTAGTGTATCGATACGCCACAAAATGAGTATTAAAACCGTTTAAATATTACGAATCGACATGTATCAATAAATCGTCATTTTTGATTGATTGGACATGTTTTGCCCATTGTCAGATGATCCGTTTATGTTAGCCTGGGTCAATATGTTGAAATCACCCACCTACAGCTTATAGCTTTCTGATGTTCTACTCTGTAAAATCTACGCCCTCAAATTTGTCGTCTTTACATCAATATCTCCGCAGTAGCTTAACGGATTTTTACCATTCAAACTGCATTTGAAAGGTCCATCTCCCTTCGTTGTTGTTGTTATTTGAATCGCGAAGATATCTCTCACCAAGGCTAGACTAGGCCCTTGGTGACATAGGGATGACCTCCAGGTCAACAAGCTGAACTAAGATGTTGAATATGGTTAACATTACACCTGCTAAAAATCAGCCTGGTAGCATGCTGACGGAACATTTAGCTCCAGTCTCGCAGAGTCACTAGTGTGGCTTTTGACTCTTAGGGCCTATCCCAACACCCACACTTCCCCTAGAAATACCCACTTGCACTTGGTTGTGCGCGTTCACATTTAGGCTAGTGGTGTCCCAAAACAGAATTGAGGTAGTGGAAGTGGTTTCCGACACTTAAATCCCGCCCTGGATTCCAAGGAAGCCCTGACCCACACTTTCAATGAGGTGAAAGATGAAATTTCCCAGAACACCTTGCGAAGTCAGCAAATTCGGCAAGTTTTGGAAAACAATTTGTTACTGTACGATCGGAATGTAGGCTATACAAACAACAGATGGTTGAACTAGTGTAAACCCATCAGCAACTCGGTTGAGCACAGCGTCAAAATATTTAAACAAATCGACTTACCCGAACAAAATCGATCAGAACTAGAAGACGTCGTAGGCGCCTCCTGTTTTCAGCATTTCTTCTCCGTTGATTCATCAGATGGAGAAGAATAAACAGCACACACCACAACACAAGCGCTGGAGCCGGCATTTTCATTGCGTCACTACTACGCGTGACGTATGCCTGCACGTCGGCCACACCGATTTACATGAAGTGGTGTCCCATTTCTTAGGGAAAGATCTCTTCCCTTATATTTCTCACTTCCCTCATCAAGGGTTATCTCGCAAATGAGGGCACTCATTTGAGGGCACAATGGAAGAAGGGGTAAAAATGGGACAGGCCCTTCTAGTTGTAACAGCTGTGACACATCTCTTGGTTGTGTGTGCTTCAGGTTGGCAGCATGTGTGTTATAAAGATAAATCTGCTGTGATTTCAGTATGAAATATTCTCCTGCCACCGGACCCCCAGTTGGACCAGAGTGTGAGCACTGTGGACAGAGACATCAGGTGAGACACATACACTCACACAGAGTAACACATTCGGGAAACTTGTTTATATTCGTATTTTCACACATGATGCTCTTTATTACCAGGTGTCAGCTGTGTGAAAACCTCTCTGCTTGTTGGTAGTTATTACTGTACAAACACGTACACTGTACCATCTGACGCCTGTGTCTGTCCTCTCTGCAGATGGGTGGTCCGTTGTGGGCGGAGCCTATCCACGACTTGGCATTTGTCCAGAAGGTTTTGTCTTCTGTGTCCGGGAACCCGTCCCGTTTTGGGACGTCTAAACGCATTGAGGGCATGCTCAGCATGGTGACTGAGGTATTGATTTCCCTTTTTATATACGCTCTCATTATGTTTTCATCTCTTAGTATTGTCATGTGGGTGCGGTTAGTTGCATCAGGTAACTTGTAACCTGTGTAATAAAAAAAAAAAAAAAAAAAATACATTAAAAAAAGTCTGATATGTCTTCCTGACTACGAGGACTAACATATATCACCTCTGATATGCTGTTTGTTTCAGGAGTTGGAAGATGTGCCTCTTTATTACACTGTGGACAATCTGAGCAGCACGATACACTGCAATACTCCATCCCTGCTCCAGTTTAGGTAAACACACACACACACACACACACACAAATAAATGAGTATACTGTGTTGTCATCAAACTATTGTGCTTTTTATGCCGATAGCCGTGGCTGGAGGCTGTTTGTTCGTCCGTCCAATTCTTGTTTATGCGATATCTCAAGAGTACCTCGAGGGAATTTCTTCAAATTTGGCACAAGCATCTACTTGGACTCATGGATGAACTGATAAGATTTTGGTGGTCAAAGATCAAGGTCACTGCAACCTTGCTTTCGTCTCGTTCTCATGAATGAGGTATCTCAAGAATACCTTGAGGGAATCCATCCATCCATATTCATCCGCTTATCCAAAGCTGGGTCGCGGGGTCAGCAGGCCAAGCAAAGCACCCCAGATGTCTCTCTCCCCAGCAACGCTTTCCAGCTCCTCCTGGGGGATCCCAAGCTGTTCCAAGGCCAGATGAGATATGTAATCCCTCCAGTGTGTTCTGGGTCTGCCCCGGGGCCTCCTACCAGTGGGACGTGCCTGGAACACCTCTAACAGGAGGCGCCCAGGAGGATCCTGATCAGATGCCCGAACCACCTCAACTGACCCCTTTTGAGAAGGAGCAGCGGCTCTACTCCGAGCTCACTCCAGATGTCCGAGCTCCTCACCCTATCTCTAAGGCTGAGCCCAGACACCCCACGGAGGAAACTCATTTCAGCTGTTTGTATCCACAATCTCATTCTTTCGGTCACTACCCATAGCTCATGACCGTAGGTGAGGGTTGGGATGTAGATGGACCGGTAAATCGAAAGTTTCGCCTTCCGACAGTCCGGCACAGCACCCACATCACCATAGACCAAACCGCTGATCCATCTCAAGCTCCATTCTGCCCTCACTTGTGATCAAGTCCCAGAGATACTTGAACTCCCTCGTTTGAGACAGTATTCTCTCCCAATCCAGAGAGGGCAATCCACTGTTTTCCGTCTTGAGGGAATTTCCTCAATCTTGGTACAAACATGCACTTGGACTTAAGAAGGAACTAGAATTTGGTCGTCAAAGGTCACAGTGACCTCTCAAACCATGTTTTTGTACATATATCAATAATTAATTTGTTAACTATCACAAAATTTCACCCAAATGTCTCATAGGATAAAATGATGACATCTGCTGTTGTACCTTCACCTTTCAGCATATACTGTCACATGTTTAGCTGCTCACTGGTTCGTCTGATTCTACATCTGTCTCTCTGCAGGTCTGCTCTCCTTCACGCTGGTCACAGGGTTTCTCTCTCTCACGCCTGTAAGAATGCCATCAAGACAGACGCTCCTCCTGCGGCCCTCTGGGACATCATGCGGTGCTGGGTAAACATTACTGATTTTACCCAAAACAACAGCTACTGAAGATTTTTTTCAATAAGTCTGAACCCATTAGTCTGGTATTTGCTGCGGCCAGAGTTAATTCCATCTATATGAACTAGTCTCCTGAATCACACTAAGCATCATTTTTACTTATACGTGTATGTTTGATTGGTCGTCTGCCGCAGGAGAAGGCCAATCCTGTGAAGAGGGAGAAGCTGTCAGAGACAAGCCCCGCCTTAAAGATCCTCTCCACTGAGCCCAGGTGAGACCACGTCCTAGACTTTGAAGTCCAGCCAGTTAATCACTGACCCTTCAGTCATACTTCCTGAGTTTATGCTTTTGTGTTTAGGACGTATAATGCAAAGACTAACCTGTGATGTTAATATAGCCGCTTCCTCTTAATGTTATCTGTGGAATTTCCTTTGTAAAAAAAACTGTTTATTTACATTCAGCGTTCTCACAGAAACACATTGTGTGTGTGACCTTAAAGTGCTATTACTTAACATGTTTGTGCTGGTTTGTCTGTGTGTGTGCGTGTGTGTGTGTGTGTGTGTGTGTGTGTGTGTGTGTGGGTGAGCAGCTCAGAAGCGTGTTTCACCGTGAGGGAGGACGCCAACCCTCAGTCCCGAAAACGCCACCTGACCCGGTTCCAGGAGAATCCGCAGGCCTTCTGGGGACCCAAAGCTCGAGCCAAAGCTGGGTAACTAACACACCCTCCATACTCCCAGGACACACACACGCTGACAGATTAACACACAACAAGCAGCCATAGCTTTGAGGATGATCATGGATAAGACACCATTTTTTAACGTGTTAAAACAGGACTTCAGCTGTAATTCTAGAAATGTCTCCTAATTACAAGCCCCGATTCGTAAACATAATTAGTCTGAAAATTATTAATAATTAGCACTAAACATTGGCATAAAACAGCTATATATCATTAAAAATTTTGCACCACATCATCACATTTTTAGATGTCGACCTGAAAGTGGAGAGGAAAATGTATTTCTTAATTTTCAAATACTTAATCTGAAAAAAGCCTTTTTTGTGGACTTGTGAACACCCTGACGTAGAGTTGTGTCATATCATCTTATTCACGATAATTCATATTGTGATACTTGCGATATTTCGACTTGTTGACATATTGACGTCATACTGTTACCCATGGCAACAACAAGCATGGCTGAAAGAGAAATTATTACAGACGCCGCGGTGGTTCCAAAAAGAGGAGCAGCTTCAGTAGTGTGGAATAAACTGTGGCGTCCTGAATGTTTTATGAACAGCCCCGGACTTCTCAGACTCTTTTAGTGACTTACCGCTCAGAGGGAACTCATTCAGCGGCTCCTCTGGCAGCAGCACAGCGTCTCTTCCCCTCCTCTCGCTGTGCGCACACAGGAGTCGGTGTCATCAAGTGATTTTGTCATAACCCTTTGGAAATGTAAACCTACGTGCCGCTTGCCGCTCGACAAAGATCTCCATATATGTCAATGTGTGATAGTTGTGGTATCATAACAGCCTGTCACAGGTTTTTTGTATTTGGGAGCTGTTTAAATGTGTAATTAGTGGTAGATTTTATCTTGTTGAACTATTAATATTGTATACAGAATCTGAATCTCATTCTGAGTTACTGTTGTTGTTCACAAACTTAAGAAATTAATTTTACTGAATATCTAAAAGCAAACTGTAAAACTATATCACTTATTTTGTTGCAAATCTGTTTTTTTAAATTAATAATAAAATATTTTTTTTACTAATATGTCATATCTTCAACAATATTGTTATCGCAAAAATACTCTGAAATATCGTGATATTATTTTAGGGCCATATCGCCCACCCCTACCCTGAAGTACTCACTTAAACTACAGGTAGTTTTTTAGGGAATGAAACTGTGTGCTCCATCTCCTCATTCCTCTCGCCTTTTTCTCCTTTCCACCTTCATCTTATTTGTCTTTGTGCATTTTCTCCCTCCTTCCTTCCTCCATCCATTTCTAACCTTTCGTTCTCTCCTCTCTCCCCTCCAGTGGCGGTATCTCCACTGACCTGCAGGACAAAAGAAAGAAGTGCCAGAACAAGAGAAAGAACCAAATCACAGACTCTTCTGAGCTAAAAAACTTCCCCTGCAAGAAGTTCAGACAGGTCAGTTCACCTACAGGCAGCTGCGCAGATCAAATCACATTTTTTGTAAACCAGTTTGGACTGAAAAAATATCTTCAGCCTCTTATAAACAGGACGTGTAGGATCCTAACATGTCCCACAGTTGCAGTCCCCAAGCACAGACTGACAGTCAGAGTGGGAGGCGTCTGATGTTTTAATGCCTTTGGTTTTCTGCTGATGAAGCTTCTGTAGGTGGAACTCTTTGTTAATTCATGGCTGCTCATGCTCAACACGATAGACATTTCTTCCTGTGTAACAAAGGCTGTGTTCTTAGAAATAACAACCCAGTAGTTTTTAATTTGTAGAATAGCTGTTTTTTCCAGGAAAAGTCCAACCTGAGTTATTTCTTTCCTGGAACAGCAGTGGAAGACATGAGAACGATTTGACTTTATACCTGAAATGATCCCATCACTTCTGTGCTGCAAGATAAAACTGTCTAATGACACTGAAGTTCATTAATGATGAATGAATTATTCAGAAGTCCTCACTTCCATTCCAGGAAGAAAAAGAAAATGCCATTGTGAAACACTGTTCAGAGCTGCTTTCCTGAATTGGCTGAAGGTTGAATCAGCACTGCTTTTATGCCTCTGTGTCGCTGACAGCCCCGGCTGCAAGCATTGTGTTTTCAGGTTGCAGGTTCATACGTACGTGCGTCCCATCCTTGTGAACATGGCACAGATTTCCACTTGGACTCAAAGATAAACTGATTAGTTTTTGGTAGTCATAGGTGAAAGGTCAAGGTCACTGTAGTCTGAGTGGGCGGAAGTTTGCTGTATAGATCAGCCTCTCAATGGGCGGAACGAGCCACCCGCTGAAGTCCCGCCCTACCACCTCCAGCTGCAGTTTTCAACACGTCCTACTAACTTTTGCAGTGTTTGGTCTTGCGGGGATGTAGCCATTTTTCTGCCATGGTTCGCGTCCTGTAGGCGATATTTTTGTGGGCGTGTTACACCAAAACCTGTTTCCCCCCGGCAATATTTTTGCAAGCGCACTGTTGCTGTGGCACCGCCCAGAATGATTGTGATTGGTTGAAAAAAATAAAAAAAGCCAGGACAATTTTTTCTCCAATCTAAAAGTGAGAGTCGGCCCAGCCAGACCTTTCTTTTCTTGAGAAAGGTCTGGTGAGCGAGACTAAGGTCACTGTGACCTTGCATCCATCCATCTTATTCTCGTGAACGCGATATCTCAAGAACAGCTTCAGGGAATTTCCTCACATTTGGCACAAATGGCCACATGGACTTAATGATGAACTGATATGTTTTTGGTAGTCATAGAGCAAAGGTCAAGGTCACTGTGACCTTGTCTGTCTCATTCTCGTGAATGTGATATTTTTAGAAGGCCTTGGACTCGAGGAAGAACTGATTAGATTTTGGTGGTCACTTGCAATATGGTACCTTTGGAACCTTAAGTACCCCTTGAGACAAGGTACCTAGACCGTAGTTCCGTGTAGCGCTTCCACCGCATACTGTACTCTTAACTGTGGGCGGGGTTGTTGTCACTCACTGCTCCGTCAAGCACTCACTGTATTTCATAGAAGTAACGTCTGCACCTGGTTTATTGTCCGCAGAACGAGGTTGCACGGCAACATTTTCAGAACAAAATAGTTTGCTAAGACGTTAGGTATAATAACTTTCTAAAGTATGTAGATCATGTGTGCAACATCAGCTTGTTGTGGAGTTCTTTACCCAAGTGAGGAAAGAAAGATTATCGCAGCTTTGAGTGATAACATCTAACATCCGCTAAATACTGTTTTATTTTTACCATAGGTGTCTGTGCACTTTTATAGTAAGCATTAAAATTTACATTCAGTCTGCTGTCTCTCATTCTACAGGGCGAGATGTAACTTTGAAAAAGGTTCCTGGTATCCCTCTTTATGTTGTACCCATTTATGGTTCAGTCAGAAATGTTGTTTTTAAATTGAGCTTCTTGTGATACAGGGACTGTTTTTATTCATCAGGACTTTTGCAGCATGTTTAGCATTTTAAATTAGAGCCCAGTAACAGCACTGCAGCCTTGGATCATTTCAGGACATTATGTTCTTTATGGAAATGTTGGCACCAGAAGTCTCACAGAATTCATGATAGAGACGGTTGCTTAAATACTAATTACACATATAAAGTCCTCATGTCCTGGGTGGGAAATGAAACCGCAGACACATGCTGGTGAATTAGTCATCTCTATCAGCTGCTTTTGGCGGGTCGCCACTCACCGTTGGTTTTCAGCCGGAGAAGCGGAGTGCCTTCATCCACCGCAGCCAGAATGTACCTTTGGCTATTTTACAGACTGTAATTTAACATCAGGCTCTCTGAGTGTTATTTATGTTTTTATTGCTGTCTTTTCTTTCAGGGAACATGCACACATGGAGACAAATGCTGCTACTCCCACAACATGGAGCAGACAAAGGAAGAGAAAATGGAGTGATTTCTGTCTCTTACGTTAGTTGTGTTCTTTTTAAATAATTTTATTTATGGAGTATGAATGGCCCGGTGCAGCCTGGGTGAAGTAAGTATGATGCACTGCAATCAGATTGTATTTGGATAGGAGCTATCCCCGGGGACTTTCCATGGGATTAAAAGACTGTTAATATGCAGGACATGTCCATTATTCAGTTTATGTCAGAGTTTTTTTTTTGTTTCAGAAGCTTTTGTTATTTGACTATTTCAGTCCAATAAAATCCTCACGCTGACTTTAAATGTTTTCCTCTGTTGTTCTTCAGGTAGACTTTCAACAGGTGGTTTGGGTGAGTGTCAGTCTTTAGTTTTTAACCACCATGGGGTGTTAGTGTGACAGTGTGTGTGTTAGTGTCAGCAGGGTGCGCTGTCTCATTAAATTTTTAATGTCTGAAATACACACATTTAAGAATTGGTAGCGTACACAGGCTTACTTTTCCACAGCGTGCATTTAACTTGAAGTGGCAGTAGTAAACTTTTAACAGTTCTGGAAGCAGTTCTTAAAATATGTAAAAGTATTCCTGTCCTGACGCTACAACATCTTTTAGCAAAAACATGGGGAAAAAGGCAATTAGCAACTTGGTAAGAAATGTCCACCAACTGCAAAAAAATAATAGATTTAGAAAATTATTAAAAAAAATAAAAATAAAATAAAATAAAGTTAGGGAAAAATATTTAAAATAATTATTATTACATATTTAAAATTATGGTACATAATTGTCATTTTTAAGCACTTTTTTTTTTAGGTCATTTCATCTTTTTTGTATTTTTTTTTACTAATTTTCCTGTTTTGATTTTTTCTTTACTAATTTCTTGCACATTTTTGGGTAATTTCTACTTTCGTTGCCTTCTTCCTGTGTTTTTGAAATAAACTGAACCAGTTAGCTCAGGTTTGAAAGGGTTAAAACATACAGATACTTAATGGGGAGGGGGCATCATTGTTCCACCATAAAGCTAACAGTGGAGGCAGCAACAGAGCGGAGCCTCATTATATTCCAATCAAGAGATAACGATAAGTCATGTGCGACACCTGGTGGTACAATTCAGTATACCAGTCAAGTGTTTGGCTTAAAATCAAACTGGTTTGAAATTTTTCCAAGCGGCCCAATCATTGCAGGTACCAGTGATGGAGGACTTCAAAAATCGTAACTTTAGTTGAATTTAAAAGCGTGTTTGAAGAGAAAATGGCCATCAGTATGTTTTTGGATATGTAGCTGTAACACTGATGTACAGTTGAACACAAAGCAAGAATAAAAGATTTTATTATCAGCTGCTCAATCAGTATAAAATCATGTTCAAACTATATACAGACATTGGCAGAAATACAAAGGTAATTGCACACATCAGGCAGTCGGTACAAGTTGGCACCAGTTCTGTTGGAGACAGTAAATCTCTAAGGATTTGTGATCTGCTAAAAATTCTAAAAAATATGGTAAAAAGTCAGTTTTGGGGCTAAAAATGTTCCATGGTCAGTTTTGAGAAGGATTTGGTGCTGTTGATGTGTCTGTAGTACCAAAGGCAGCTTAAGCAAATTCTGTACATACTGCGTATGTCTCGAAGGAGGAACATGTTCGTTCATTCAGTGTCAGTAAGTGGTAAATAATCATGTTTGGACGGCCGTGAGGAAGAGACTTGCTTTCAACGTTCACAGCTATTCAAAATCACAGCTGGGTTTCCAAAAACATCTTTAGATCCGGGTTATTTTTCTGTAAATGTAAAACAAACCGCATCTCGACATGTTTCTGGAATCCCAGCCGAGGCATGTGTGGCCACAGGGTTGATTTAGTAATGTGGGCAGCGTTACGTATCGCTGCGTTCACACCAAATTCAATCCGTGTGCGAACAGCCTCTCGTTCTATGTAAACAGAAGCCCTTTGACTTCCTTCTTAAACATTCATATGTTTTCAAATTGGTATAGAGATGTCCTCGCTTGCTGGAATCAAACCCATGCGAGAGGCCACAGGAACTTAGATTAAAAATTGTGTCGCCAAAATGTCTGCAAACCAAGGCGTGTGATTGGCTAACTGAGGCTGACCCTGAGGAGGAAGGTTCGGATCTCCATTGGCTTCAAGGTCACCTCCCATCCAGAGGGGTCATGGAACGTCTTCAGCAGGGGCTTCTCTCCTGAAAAATAAATGCAGCTTGTAAAAATGAACAGAAAACAGACATAATTTCTACAAATGCGTCGTACCTTACAAACAGCAACAGCAAAGTAAAACAAATTAATTCTACCTCTTCCAAAATGAGTCTTGCTGAGCCACTAAAACACCCCGCAGTTTGCTATTAAAGCTGTGAACCATAACAATACATTTATGACTCATTATATTACACTGCCTGCTTGATTGGTCCCTGCAGGGAAATAGTCTTTATAGTTAAGATGGCTGTAATGGAGCAGTGATTACCACCCTCGTAGAATTAAAAAGCGTCAGTGGATTTCTGTATTCACCCTCCTCTCCTCAATCTACTGCTCACACTGAACACAGCCCTCAACCATCAGCCAAGTGGTCCATCAGTGACTGGCAGCTAACCAGCAGCAGCTTCCTGCCAGAGAGCTGACAAATGAGAAAGATTCACCAACATTTGGCTGCCTGGTGTTCATTTTGGTGAGAGTCAGCTGCAGTTCCAGTACAGGTTCATCT